CCTTTGCAAGACAAGGGCACTCTATGAGCCTGCCATGCAAGCGAGAGCTCCGCTTAGAAATAATGATTTACTGCGTCCTTCTAGCGAGCAATAACGAACGTAACAAACTAATTACTCGACGCGAGGATCCCCATATGTGCATCTCATAGTGATGGCATGCTTCGGTAGAAGACATTGTCCTTTGCAATATCTGAGTGTCAGCGAATCCATGTGGAAGTCACGTCGCGCGAAGGAGTGACCCTCACCAAACACACGCAAGCCATTGCTCGCGAAACCAAACCATTCCAAGGGGCGCGTCAAATGAATTTCGAGGCGGACCCAGCCGTGGCGAAGAGGAATCCCGGGGACACCGATTGGGAACCCAAACAAGCAAACCGCCTGAGATCCCCCCCAATCTGGGCGCGAACGGGCCCGTGAGATACCCCCTGGCGGCCCCCCTAGGGAGTGCTAAAACCAGCGCCTCGCCCGAGACATCCTCGGAAACTGCTCCGAAAGAGAAGGATGTTGAGCACCCAAACAAGCAAATCGCCTGAAGCATCCCCCCAATCTGGGCGCGAACGGGCCCGTGATATACACCCTGGCGCCCCCCCTTGGAAGTGATGAAAAAAACGCCTCGCCTGCGACATCCTCGGAAACTGCTCCGAAAAAGAAGGATGTTGAGCACCCAAACAAGAAAACCGCCTGAGACATCTCCCCGATCTGGGCGCGAACGAGCCTGTGATATACCCTCTGGCGCCCCCCCTTGGGAGTACTGAGACCAGCGCCTCGCCTGAGACATCCTCACAATGTGTGTGTGTGTGTGTGAGTCTGAGCGCGGAAGTACCAGGAGTGTGAGTGAGTCTGCATATGAGTGATCCCGAGCATGAGCAATCTGAGCATCATGAATCTAAGAGCGAGTGCATCTGAGTATGAGTGAGTCTGAACATGAGTGAGTCTACATGTGAGTGGGTCAGAGAATGATGACCTGAGGGTGGGAGGTGTTCTCTCATTCTCCGCGCGGTCAAAGTGATAACAAGAACCCCATCCTTAGGATATGGGGAATCACACGGTTCAACAAGGTGCCCAACAAGGGCCCCGTTTTGAAAAGTTAGCCGCCCCCATCCGTGCACATGTTGCACAAGTTAACATGTACGATCAATAAGTTTAGGGGCATCTCACGCGAGATACCGATGCTGAGGATGAATCACCCTCCACTCGTGCAGCTACTACATGAGTCCAATGGTCGCCGGATTTGAAGAGCCTGAAACGAGAGCCACATTGAAAAAAGGAACCGCCCTCCGTGCTTCAGACGATGCGCGGCGCGAAGGCCACCACCATATTTTGAAGAGGAGCAACCATCCGTTCATGCTTCTGTTAGACGTGACAAATTCCAAGACCCAAACGGTCGGGATGTACGGAACAAAACGCCCGACCCGCCTTATCGGCGCGTGTGGCGGTGCGGCAGGGACGAGTGGTAGGTATGTATTCTCGCACATATGAACATGCATACATACATGCATGCGTTCATACATACATACATACACCCATACATCGGTCCAGCCATCCATCCAGCCGTTCGTCTATTATATACATGCATACATGCACGCACACATAAATACCTACATCCATACATGCATGCATGCATGCATGCATACATACATACGTGCAAACATACATACGTACACATACACATACCTACACATATACATACATACCACTACACACATGCATACATGCATACGTACACATATACATACATACATACATACACATATACACATACATACATACATACATACATACATATATACACACATACATACATACATACATACATACATACATACATACATACATACATACATACACACATTCATGCATACGTATATATATATGCATACATGAATATATACACGCACACATACACGCACGCATACACACCTACATACATATGTACATACACACATGCACACACACCTACATACACATATACATAAATACGTGTACATGCATACATGCATACCTATATACATGCATACATACATACATACATACATACGTACGTACATACATACATACATACATACATACACACATACATACATACATACACGCATACATACACATGGATGTGTATACATATATGTGTATATACACGCATGCATGCAATCATACATGCACGTATGCATACACACGTACAAACATACACACATGCATACATGCATGTATACATGCATACATGCACGCAGGCAGACAGGCATGCATAAATGCATGCACATATACATATATACATATGTATGTACACATACATGTACATATACCAAATCAAACACATGTACTTATACATAGAAGTATACCGATACATCTATATATGCATATACATGTACATATACATGCACACATGCATGCATACATACATACATCAATACATCTATACATACATACATGCATACGCACATACGTACATATATATATATATATATAGATACAAGACTGCATTGGCGCTTCGCGCCATGCACCTTGGTTCTTGAAGCTCGGCATGCAGGAGAGCCAAATATAGCGATGATTCATTGTTGCCGTTTGCGCCATCGTCGTTATAGTAATGTTATGTACTATCCTTATAACTCCTCTCCTCTTACTCGTAATCTTCCTTGTCTGCGAGCCACTCCTTGTCCTCATCCCCAGTTTTTATTGCAGGGGCTCCTCTTTGGAGGTGTTCCTGGGCCCCTCTCAAAAGCTTTTTGGGGACCTCTGGGGGCCTCCTGGGCGCCTTTTGGGGGCCTCTGGGGGCTTCTTGCGGCCACCTTGCTACCAACCACGGTCTCCCTGAACGACCGGGTCACGATTTGGAGTGCTTCGGGAGGCGTCTTGGGGCCATCTGGGGCTGTCAGCGGGGCTCTCTTGGGGCCATCTTGCGGCCCTGTTGGACCATATTGGGGCTCTTTTGGACTGTCTGGAAGCCCTTTGACACCGTTGTGGGAGGATTTTGGGGGCCTCTTCGGCGGACTCGGACGCACGGAATACCGAAGAACCGAATGTCCAAAAAATCCTTCTTTTTTTAAGGCAAAAAAAAAGGAAAGGAAAGGAAAGTGTTGTTTTTTTGCACTTGGAGGACCTCTTGGGGGTTTTCTTTGGGTCGTCTTCGGGCGTCTTGGGGCTGTCTGGGGCCGCGTGGGGCTCTCGCGGGGCCGTTTGGCCGCCCTCCTGACCGCTTTGGGCCCGCTGGCAAGGCCCCGCAGGGGCGTCCAGGAGGCCCGGAAGGCCTGGGGGACCCTTTGCAAGGCGTCCAGGGGGCCCGAAAAGCGCCAGATCCCGGGGGTCCGATTTTCGGGGGGGGGGGGGGGGGTCCACCCCCCCGGATTGTAAAAATATAGAAAAGGGAATATATATATATATATATATATATACATACACATAAATGTATATATATATATATATGTTTATGTACTTATAAATCTGTACGCCACCGTGCCGCGAGGCGCAAAGGGAATTTTTCTCCAGGTCCTCATGTGTCCTCTGTTCTCTGTGCTCAGGACCCTGGTGTTATAATATTCTAAGGGCTGGGGCCCAAATTCTCAAATTTCATGGGCGTTCCCGCGCGTTCTTGGGCTGCCCCGCATGATTTTCCAGAGGCCCGAGCGCCCAAGACGGGCTAAGAGGGCCCCGGAACGCGTTTAAGAGGGTCTAAGAGGCCTCCAAAACAGCCTAAGCGCGATCCACGACGTCCAATATGGCCCCACGACGGCCCAAGAGGCCCCAAAGAAGCCCCAAGAGCGCTCCAAGAGGACCCCCACTAAAGCCCAAAGAGACACAAACCATTGATGATCCGTGTGTTTCGTTGTTGTTGCGTTCTCGCGTTTTCGGGCTTCCGACGCTTCAAGATGGCCCCAGAGGCTCCACAAACAGCCCCAAGACTGCCCAACATGCTCCCAGGAGGGCCCCAAGACGGTCCAAGAGAGCCCCGACCCGGCCCAAAAGGCGTCTAGGATCGCCCAAGAAGGCCCCAAGACGGCCCCAAGAGGAGCCCAAGATGGGGAACACGAACCAAAAATTCGAGTCTTCCGCCCAACGAGGCCCCCAGGAGGCCCCAAGAGGCCCCCAAACGAGCCTACGAGGCCCCCGAGATGCCCCACGAGGCCCCCAAAAGGCTCACAAAGAGGCCCCAAGAGGCCCCCAAACGGCCCCCATGAGCCAAGAGGCCTCAAAACTGCCCCCAAGAGGTCACCGAGAGGCCTCACACGATATCCGAACGAACATCCAAGAGGCCTCTAATCCATAATCCAGGCACGGTGGTGGGATGGGCCGAAGGGCAGACGAGATATATGTATGTATGTGTATAGATGTATATATATATATGTGTGTAGATGTGTGCATATGCATATGTAAACATAGATCTAATCATGTGTGTTCGTAAAGCTATGTGTACACATAGAGTGCATACACACGTACACACATACATACGTACATACATACATGCATGCATACATACATACATGCATACATACATACATATCTATACATACATACATACATACATGCATGCACGCATGCATGCATACATGCACATACATACATGCATACATGCATCCACACATCTACGCATACAGACAGACAGACAGACAGACAGACAGACAGACAGACAGACAGACAGACAGACAGACAGACAGACAGACAGTCAGACAGACAGACAGACAGACAGACAGACGGACAGACAGACAGACACGCATACATACACACATGCATGCATGCATGCACGCAGGCATGCACACACACATACATACATTCACACATACCATGCATACATACACACATACAACTATACATATACAAACATGCATACATACATACATGCATGCATACATACCTACATTCACCTATTCATCCATCCATCAATTCATCCATTCATTCATCCATCCATAGATCCACACACCCATCAATCCACACACACACACACATACACTCATTCGGTACTTTATTCATTCCTCCGTACATACATACACACATACATACATACAGCCATACAAACATACGTGTGTGTGCATACATACATGCATGCATGCATACGTACATACGTACGTACATACATGCATACATACGTACACACGTACATACATGAATACAGGCAGGCAGACAGGCAGACAAACAGACAGACAAAAAATACCTGCATACGTGCGTGCAGGCATGCATGAATGCATACATACATACACATATAGGTGAGGAAGCGAAGGACGATGATAATGATGGTGATGATGAGGAGGATGAGGAGAACGACGATGAGGGGAGGAACCGTCGACTGAAGACGAAGACAGCAAGGAAAACCCATGAAAACTGTGGCGGAGGAGAGGCAGATGAGAGGGAGCAGGAGAAGAGGTCTCCACATCTTCCTGTTTCCCCTCATCCTCCTCCTCCTCCTCCTCCTCCTCCTCCTCCCCGCCCTCCTCCTCCTCCTCCTCCTCCTCCTCCTCCTCCTCCTCCTCCTCCTCCTCCTCCTCCCCCCTCCCCTTCCCCCTCCCCTCCTCCTCTTCCTCCTCCTCCCCCTCCTCCCATTCCTCCTCCTCATAATCCTCCTCTTGCCCCCCTGCCTTTTCCCACTTCCATCCGCCGCCTCCTCCTCCTCCTCCGCCTTCTTCTCCTCCTCCTCTCCTCTCCTCCTCTCCTCCTCCTCCTCCTCCTCCTCCTCCTCCTCCCTCTTCTCCCTCTCCTCCTCTTCCCCTCCTATCCTGCTCGTGCTCATCCCTGCTTCCCTCCTCTTCCTCCTCTTATCCTGCTCGCGATCATCTTGCTCCTCTCTCCCCCTTCTACCCCTTGTCTGCTTGCCTTGCCTCGCCCCCTAGGGTCAATGCGGCCGGATAGGCGTCACCGCCTCTTGGCCCTCCCCCCTTTGAGGCTTCAATGTTGCAGGCTCCCTCTTGTCATGCATCCACTTTGAGGAGCTGAATTCCTCGAGGACTTCAGCTTCGACAACGCCCACTCCTCCCTCCCGCCCCGCCCAGGTGAAGACCGTCTTTAGTCCCCCCCATGAGGACTGCCAATAGGCATCACACCCCGCGCAGCTTCCGTCGTAGGGGCTGCGAGGATTCCCACCCCCACCTACCATGACGGCGCCAATTGCCACTGGAGGGGGCCGACGCCCTCTCTACGGTCCCTCGGCCAACGAAGACGGCCATAGGGCGGGGTGTCAAGGCATCTCTATAACTCTGACCTTAATGCCTGGAGGCGCCAATTGCCACCGTCCAATGTTTCTTCCTGGCCTCCTCCCCCCTGTGCCCCTTCCTCCTCTTCCTCCTCCTCCTCCTCCTCCTCCTCCTCTTCCCCCTCCTCCTCCTCTTCCCCCTCCGCCCTCCTCCCTCCTCCTCCTGCTCCTCCTCCTCCTTCTCCTCCTCCTCCTCCTCCTCCTCCTCCTCCTCCTCCTCCTCCCCCTGCCCCCTGCACCCTGCGCCGAATGCCAGCCGCGGCCGAGGCAGACCCGCTGGACCCCCCGGGCCTCAGTAGTTATAGAGCTTCGACCCCTTCCCCGCAGAGACAAGCGGACAGGGCGGACTCACCCCGCTCGTGCTCCGCGCAGGCACCGCGTCCACTCTGTAAGAACGGTTTTTTGAAGGCAGATCTGCCTTCAAAAAACCGATCTGCCCTGTAAGAACGGTTTTTTGAAGGCAGATCTGCCTTCAAAAAATGGTCTACCCTGTAAGAACGGTTATTTGAAGGCAGATCTGCCTTCAAAAAACCGTTCTTACAGAGTAGACCAGTCTTTCCTCTTTGAAGGCAGATCTGCCTAAAAAAAACCGTTCTTACAGAGTAGACCAGTCTTTCCTCCTTGCAGGTAGAGTGCGTCCCGCGCCCATCTTGGCACACCCCTCACACGCTTCGTGGCCCCATAGGCAGCCCCACCGAAGGCCTCAGTCACTGCGTCCACACGCGTCCCGCGTTCCCTTCGGCACCCCTCACACGTCTCGTGGTCCACAAGCAAGCTCCACCGACGGCCCCAATGGCTGCGTCCACATGGATCCCGCCCCCGTTTCGGTACACCCCTCACACGGTTCGTGGCCCCATAGGGAGCTCCACCGAAGGCCCCAAGGCACCGAATTGTCGTGGGCAAAACATGTCCGTTCCCGCGGCCAAGCGGGCTGGGCCCCTTGGCCGCGACCCCGCCGATACGGGGCGTCTTTCGCGGATGCCCCGCGAGGAACGTATCCGTGAGGTTAACACGGACCCCAAGTCCGCGAGACCAGCCTCGTGATACGAAGGTTCGCGCAATGCGTACTCTTGCAACTAACGCGGATTCGTGTACATGTACGTCCTTCTTTCGATCTTGATTCTGGGATCTACTGACACCAGGGTAAATCCAAACCCAGGCCAGTTGAGCAAGATCCAGGCTCTGCGAGAACCTGCAAGAACCCTGCAAAAACTGCAAGATACTGCAAGAACTCGTGTCAATGCGATCCTGTCTCTGCAGGATCCTGCAAGATCCAGCGCTCTGACTGACCCCCGTTTACATTGACTCCCGTCTCTTGCGCCCCGACGGATATCCGTGGTATCGCGCCCCAGAATCCAGACCGCGAGGGCGCGGATACGGATAGTTTGTTCACCGCTCGTAAAGCTGCGGAAGTGTCGTGCCGCTACTCTGTGCAACGCCACCCGCAGCTTCCCGCCCTGGCATACGTTGCTCCCATCGTACTTAAGGACTACGTCCCAGAAATAATTTCGAGCACCCGGAAAAGTGTCCAAAGAGTGTCGAAACAGTGTCGGACGAGTGTCTCCCAGGGCCCGACATGTGAAACTTTTCTGGTGCTCGCAATTCTTCCTAGTGATCAAGGCTAAAATGAGCTGGAACAAGCCCCGGCGCCGGCAGGGAGGGCACGGCAGACCGCCTCGGAGAGCGCGCTGCCTGGCCTCGTCGGGTCCTCGGCCGGTCGCTGCCTGGGACTGGCGCTCCTCCTGGTCTCGGGCCAGTGGGCGCCCGTGGGCGTCCGCCGTCGCTGGCTGCTGGTCGGCCGCCATCTCTGGAGCCCGGGCGGGGGCGACGCCGGCCGGCGCCGCCGCGTCCGCTGGCTGGCACCGCGCAGGCCCCCTCTTCGTCGAGAGGGCCTGAGGCGAAGCCAGGGGACGCAAAAGGACATGCTACAGTACTGCGCGCCCCCGTTGGAGGCGCACGTCCAAAACGAACGTATGCTCAGCACATGTCTTACGTCGCAGCGCGGCAGAGGCAGTCCGCACGCGCGCTCGGGCAAGCCTGGAAACATCATCGCTAATTGTCCGGCAGCAAGAGCGGGAAAAAGGGCGAGGAGAAAGCGGCCGCGGGCGCGGCTTTCGCGGCGGGGAACATGTGACACAAGCATATCATTCAAGTACATCGCTACCCGGATCGCTACCCAAGCGGTCTGGCCAGAAAACGCCCGCCTGTCGGGCGCGAGCTGCGGCCCCGCCGTGCCGTTCGCCCGTCTTAAGGGCCAAGGACGAGGACGAGGATAAATTCGGGGTGAGGAGAAGTCGGGAAGGATCTGAGATCTGGCGGTTCTGGAGGATGTCTCGGGCGCCGCGGCCTTCTCAGAGCGTTCCGGAACGCTCTGAGAGCGTTCCAGAACGCTCTGGAAAGGATGTTTGCTCGTCCCAGGCCCGCCCGACTGCCTCTCGTCGGCTTGCGCCACTGCCGCCGCCGCGCCACCGCGGCCATCGGCCGCGGCCAGACCTGCTTCATAACCCGGCACTGCTGATCGGAGTGTCGCATCCAAGAGCAGTCGCAAACAGCAAGCACGCTGTGCCTCCATGTCCTCCATGTCCTCCTCCTCCTCCTCCTCCTCCTCCTCCTCCTCCTCCTCCCCATGCTCCCCCTCCTCCTTTTTCCCCTAGGCCTCTTTCTCCTCCTCTTCCTCCTCCTCCTCCTCCTCGTCCTCCTCCTTCTCCACTCTCGCACTCGCGCCTCCGCTTCCTGGTGCCTCCGAACCCCACCAATGGTCTGCCGTCCTCCGTCTCCCACATGTCGATCGACTCTACGGTCTCCTCCCCCGTGATGAGGGTGATCCTAATGAAGTTGGTGTCGCCACATTCGTTCTGGGAGTTGGACGGGAAGGAGGGAGGCGGTGAAAAATGGTGAGACGAGGACGGGCGGTACAAATAGCAGGAACAATGATCACAATAACGTTCAGACCACGAATGACGAGGCGAAGTTCGAGGCTAAAGCACGGACGCCTGCCGCAACGTGGCCGCCCTCGCCTGCCCTGGGGTCGAGTGCGCAGCACGGCCTCCGCAGCCACGCTGCCGGCTGCCTCTTGGCGGGCCCGTCGCGTCAGTCCAAGGCAGCTCAAACAGCCTTTCCGCCATGCAGGGGGACAATGGCGCGAGGCGACCGGCGACACGCCCGCTCGAATCGCCCACAGGAGGAGGAGGACCAGAATAAAGCCAAGATGCACCAACGATGCTGCAACTCACCCTCCCGTTCGAAATCCCCTCCGCAATCCCTGCAAGCCCTCAATTCCGCTTCAAGAAGCGCGCCTTTGGAAGACCAGCGCCCTACGGGCCACTCAGGCGAGAGCCCCGTTTTGAAAAGGAACGAACTGCCTTGCATCTTCCCAGCGCACAGTGAGGAACGCGAAGAGGTATGAACATACAAATCACATAGGAGGTGTCCAGTGAGACCCCGTTTGAAAAACTATCATCCCGTCTGTGTACCTCTTGCACATGTTTTCACTTACGGCCATGGGCGTCGAAGAAATCTTAAGCGAACGCCACATGTTGAAAAGGAGCAGCCCTCAATCGGTGCAGCTGTTGCGTCTGTTCAAACTTCTGGCCCTTTAAAGCAGAGGCGCTCAAAACAAACCCATGATTGTGAAGAGGAAATACCCTTCATCCGTGCAGCTGCTGCATGTGCCCAAGTTCCTGGCTTCTCTCAACTTCAATGCTACTCAAACAGAAATCACGGTGGACAATAATCGCACACAATCTCTGTAACTGCAAAAACTTGTAAGACGAATGCGCGCAGTGCTAAGACGAGAGTCCGAGTTTGAAAAAGGCACAGCCCTACATCCTTCAGGCTGCTGCAAAATTGTGGGACGAAAATGCGCGGGGCTAAAACGACATCACAATTTCGAAAACGGCATGTGCTCAATCCTTATTGCTGCAAGAATGTGTGACGAAAGTGCGCGGCGCTCTCGCGGGAACCCAATTTTGAAAAGGAGCCGCCCGCTATCAGTAAAGCTGCTGCAGGATTTCTTAACCAAAAACGAAGGTGCGCGGGACTGAAGCGAGAGCCCCACTCTGAGAGCGGACAAGATCCATCGTTGCATCTGCAGAGAGTCTCTGCGACTAAAGCGCGTGGCGCTAAGGCGAGAGCCAGATGTTGAAAACGACAGGTGTACCATCCTTACACCTGTTGCACTTGTTCAAAGAGAGAATGTGGGCGGCATTAAATAAAGCTCCATTTTAAAACGGCACCCCCTCCACCCGAGAATCTCCTGCAAAACGCAAACTCCTCGACCATGACTGGTGACGAAATCAAGCGAAACACCCGGGCCGCCCTACCGACACGTCTGGGGATGCGACAGGGGGGAGTTGTGTATCAGGGAGGAGGAGGACGAAGGCGCAGGAACCGAAGAGGAGGCGAGCGGGGAGGATAGCCGAGGGAAAACGCCCAGGGCATGCCGAGGACAAAGGCGACGACGACGACGACGACAACGACAACGACGGCGGCGACGACGACGACGACGGCGTCGAAGGCGAAGGCGGCGACGACGGCGGCGCCGAAGGAGGCGCGGAAAGTCACGGCTCCTCCGGGGCGGCGATGGAGCCCATGTGCCAGCTCGCCCTGGCGCCCGCCCCGCCCCCCCCGCCCTGGGGAGCGAGGGGAAAAGGGGGCAGAGCGGCGGGTGGGCGGAGAGGCAGGAGGGGAGGCAAACGAGGAGGAGGAGGCGGGGGGGGGGGGGCGAGGAGGAGGGCAATGGGGGGGAGCAGGGCGAGAGGAGAGAGAGAGAGAGAGAGAGACGAATTGGGGCGGGAGGATGGCACACGACTCCCTGGGCAAACCCTGGCGACAGGACGACCGCCCGCCGGCCTCGGCCCGACCCCCGAGCATAGGGAGAAGGAGGGGGACGCCGACGGACGACGAAGGGGACGACGACGACGGCGGACGGCGGACGGCGGACGACGGACGGCGGGCGACGGACGGCGGACGACGGACGACGGACGACGGACGACGGACGACGGACAACGACGACAACAATGGCGGACGGCGACAACGGCGGACGGCGGACGACGGAAAGCGGACGACGGACGGCGGACGACGGACGACGGACGGCGGACGACGGACGACGGAGGACGGAGGACGGACGACGGAAGACAGACGACGGACGGCCGACAACGGACGACGGATGACGAACGACGACGCCGACGACGACGACAACGGCGGATGGCGGACGACGGACGACCGACGACGGACGGCGGACGACAGACGGCGCACGACGGACGACGGACGACGACCACGGACGACGACGACGACGACCGACGACCACGACGACGACGACGACGACGACGACGACGACGATGATCACGACGACGACGACGACAAACAACAGCGAACGGCGGACGGACCACGACGGACGACGGACGGACAACGACGGACGACCGACGACCAACGACCGACGACGGACGACCGACGACGGACGACGGACGACGGACGGACGACGACGGACGGACGACGACCGACGACCGACGACAGACGACGGACCACCGACGACGACGACGACCACCGACGACGACGCCGACCGACGACGACGACAACGGACGACGGACGGACGACGACGGACGGACGACGACGGACGACCGACGACCGACGACGGACGGCCGACGACCGACGATCGACGACCGACGACCGACGATCGACGACCGACGACCACCGACTACCGACGACGGGCGGCCGACGACCGTCGACGACGACCACGACGACCACGACGACGACGACGACGACGACGACGACGGACGACGGACGGTCGACGACGGACGGACGACGACCGACGACCGACGACCGACGACGGACCACCAACGACGACGACGACGACCACCGACGACGACGACGACGACGCCGACGACTGACGACGGACGGACGACCACGGACGGACGACGACCGACGACCGACGACCGACGACGGAGTACCGACGACCGACGACCGACGACGGACCACCGAAGACGACGACGACGACCACCGACGACCGATGACGGACCACCGACGACCGACGACCGACGACGACGACGACGACGACGACGACGACGACGACGACGACGACGACGACGGACGACGACGACGACGACGACGACGACGACGACGACGACGACGACGGACGACGATGACGACGACGACGACGACGACGACGACGACGACGACGACGACGACGACGACGACGACGGACGACGACGACGACGACGACGACGACGACGACGACGACGACGACGACGACGACGACACCCCCGCCGGTTTCGCACGCGCAACCCCGCGGCCGCCACGGACGTAACCCGCTCCGCCTCGTCGTGCCGGCCTCGGCGGCTGGGGGAGGAGGAGGAGGAGGAGGAGGAGGAGGAGGAGGAGGAGGAGGAGACGAGGGGAAGGAGGGGGATGAGGTGGAGGAGGATGAGGAGGAGGAAGAGGAGGTGGAGGAGGAGGAGGAGGAGGTGGAGGAGGAGGATTTGCCGCTGCGCTACTCTGCTGCAGCAGTTTTGCAATCCTCCTGGCAGCCAGCCAGGCAGCCGCTGAGCTACGGCACTTGAGACGCGCCCAGCGCACGAGACATCCGTGCACGCTGGGCTACCTGCACAAGGTGCAGGCCACACGTCGGGGCCATTGCCCCCGTGGCCTATGCCAGGAAACTGGGCGCGCGACAGGCGTCAAGAGAATAGCCGTACCACGCTGACAGCATCCACGTCGAACCAAACACCCTCGCTCTTCGGGTGCCGACCAGCCGTGATGCGGTTCCAATAGTATTGAGACGACCGAAGGCACCGAGGGTGGCCGTTGCACTTCTGGCTAGGGTACCTCACATACCCTCCTGTCCAGAAAGACTTGCAATTTTGGCACATGCACCATGCGCTGCCGTCCGAGCAAGATAAACCAACGCACTTGTAGCCAAGATCTATGAGCATAGCGTTAAAAAGCTTGTGGGTCGACGAGCATACACTGTTGGGAGGCCAACACGAACGCACAACCCGCAAACAAATCTTGCACTGCCAAAAAGACGTCCCTCCAGACACAGGAATGGCGAGCCTTGGGAGCGGGAGCGTCATGCTCACGCTGCCCGCGTCTGGCCGCTGACAGGTCACACGCAGGCCACAGTTGGATCAATCTGCGCCAGCACACAAACCTTTCTAGAAATAGCGAGGGCTCGGTCGAGCCACTCCAGCTGCTCGGGGCTCGGCCTCTCGTGAACCAACGCCCCGAGCTTCGCATAGTGATCGGCTAGGTCGTTCCCAGCCTTGCAGAACTTGAAGTGGTCATCGACCGATGCCTGCTCCTCGGTCATGTGACCTTTAACCTTAAAAATCTCACCCACCTTGGAGTCAGCCGTCCAGACAAACATGCCAGCATACACGCGCCTGAAAGACAACTGATCGGGCCTAGGGAGGGCCCACAACTGTACGACGTTCTGACAGTCGCTGACACCAACCGACTGCTCTAGAGCGTTCTGACAGGCGGCCATGCTCGCTGCAAACTCACCAGCCTGAGTTGTCTGAGGGATGGGGAGAGCGAGAGGATCGAACACATGACCCAATTCCTGCCCAGAATCGGAAGCCGCCACATACGCCCAACCCGTCCTCGACAACTCTTAATGACGGAGCGGATGCACGAACCGTCCATGAACAGATTTCCCTGCACCAGATAAGCATCTCGCCGTGGGCCACAAGCATGATACGCAATAGTCTCAGCCCTGGTAGGGGGAGGGAAGAAGTCACCCGGATGAAACATAATACCAAGAGTATACAGCACCTGATCATACTTGGATAGGGTGGCCCAGGCAGGCGGGGAGAAAACGAAATCGTCCCCGAACAGCTCTTTCCGAAGCTCGGCGCCGGACTGGTGCTGGCACTTCCAGAGCCTATGAAACATCGTGTACAGCTCCGTGCCGCACAGGGGGCAGAGGAGGTCAGGCAGGATGTACCCGTGCTCGGACGCACGAACCTTGGCCCATGGGTCCTGACAAACGAATCCTCGGAGACGGCCTTTTTCCCACGGCGTGAACATGGATGACGCCATCGCCGCGAACGGGACGTCAACACAAGCGCGCCGATCGAGGCCAAGGCTGTCTCCGTAGACTCGCTCGTGGGACCTCAAAACGGCAGCACGGAGGAAACGCTTCAAAATGGCAGGCGACACCAGGGTCAGCTGAACCTCAACACCCAAAGCATCCACCAGGGCCGTGGAAAACGTCATCTTCCACCCAAGGCGCACAACAGAGAACCCCAAGGCCCCGACAGGGCCCCCGATTCTCCTCCAAGAGGGGAGGGGGCCCGAGAAAATGGCATCCCAGGACCGAGGCAACTCAGCCAGGCTGAGGCCGAAAGCAAAGGTGGCCGTCAAACTGGCCCAAACCTTTTGGACCAGCGAACGATCGGGGCCACCGCGCAGTACCACGTGGGGTCGGCGGCGAACAGCAAAGCTGCAGTGAGCGACCCACCTCCGGCCGAGGGGCTTAGGAAACGTCCAAGAGAACGCCTGAAACTGGAGAGCTCGAAGTCAGAGGTGCCGTGCACCTCGCATCCGTAGGTCCTGCCGGCCAACGGCCCACTCGTAAAAATACGTCTGTCATGGCGGCCCAGGGCAAGACGATGCACGCCAAGTCTGTGAATCTTCTTCTTGGAATCCAGCTCACGAGCCTTAATTTTAACACCCCTCCTGGCCATCTTCCTTGGTTGCCCAACGGCATCGTCAATGCCCAGGTTGATGGCAGCAGCACAGGGAGCGCCGCCGACAGCGCCAAGGCCTCGGCGAATCTCCTTAGCAGCGAGAGGCAAAGAAGCGACAACGGCCGCCTTCTTCACAGAAATCGCACAACCTAGATCGGATTCGATCGCAATTTGCAGCTTGAACGCACCTTCCAGAAGGTCCTGGACGACAGCCCTGGGGGGTCCAGAGCACGACAAAATGTAATCATCGATATACACCCTGAGCGAGACCGATCTAGGAAGGCTAAGGCCGTCTAAGGCCGCAAGCGAGAAGACGCGGATGAACGTGGTCGAGAAACCGCAACCAGCAATCAACCCACGCCATGCAAACTGCAGGCCCTCGACGCGCCCGTTCATAGCCATATATCTGCACGAGCGGTAGGCCGAGTAGCAGACACGGGCAATCTGCATAGGAAACGAATGCTAGCGACGGCGGGCGAGGAGGAGGTCAAGGTCCACGGACTCGTAGAATTTGAGAAGGTGTGGAGGAGGAGGAGGAGGAGGCGGAGGAGGAGGAGGAGAAGGAGGAGGAGGAGGCGGAGGAGGAGGAGGAAAGGGAGGAGGATGAGGAGGTTGAGGAGGAGGTTGATGAGGAGGTTGAGGAGTTGGAGGTGGAAGACGAGGAGTGTTTTGCCCATAGGCTCATTCAGGGCACGCACCCGGAGCGCAACCACCCCGTCTACAGCACCAAAGCCCCGTCAACGAAATGGCCCCGCGACACACTTCAGTGCACACTCCTGCTGGAGGAGGTTGAGGAAAAAGCCCAACCCCCTACTCCTCCCCGTCACCCTCCTCTCCTCCAATGTATGGTGACGACTCAGAAACAAGTACACGGGGGAATATTCAGAAAAGGTCCTCTGCCACCAGCGAAGATCTTGGAGAGGACGACTACGTGATCTAAGTGACGACGGCGATGATGACGCCTACGAGCAGCCCTGGGACCCAATGTAGTAATCATCGCCCAGTGCCCTGGTTGCGTGACGGGCCCCCTGGGCGCTTCTTAATCGCCATCCTGCATTTCGCTGTTTGCCCGCCCTCATATCGCGAGGGGCGATGGGAATGCGGGTGGTCGGCACGCCATTCATCCTCTGGGGGTCCCTCGTCGCCGCCCGCTTCCGACTGCCTGATATTTTTCTTGTGTGTTGACTGATTGTGGACCTTACCCTGTCTGAGTCTGGCATGGCAGCGGTTTCTAGCAAAAACCCATCCAGGAGGGTCGCGATCAGCATCAAGCATCATGTTGCCCTCTGGCAGCTCAGCCCTCGGGTGCAAAAGTATGCAAGTACTGCATCATATGTCTAATGAGGTAACTAACCCAACGCACAGGCTCCTCATTTGGATGAAGGGCTTGCGGATCTGGGCTTGGTGCCGAGACGGCAAAACTTACGCTGCTAGAAGCTGCAACGCGTGAACTTGCGCGGTGACGATCGATACCTGAAGCACGAGAGGCCACTCAGTCCACCCACTTAGTCAAGTAGTTGCTCGCCTTCAGTGCCGCAGAGACCTGCGCCGAATCCATCGAGGCGTACTTCTTGACGTCCTTGGCGTTTTCCCACTCGAAATACTTCTTGCCGTCCTTGGTGTACGGCTCACGGCCGAAGTGGCAGTAGGCCGCCGTCTCCTGGTACTTGGGCTCGCGAAGGGCCAGCGTCACCGCGATGGCGCCAGGGCGGCAGTCGAACTCGATCTTGAGCACGTTGGTGATATCCTCGGCCGACAGCTTGCCCTGCTCGGTGCCGTAGGTCTCGAGGAATAGCGACAGCGGCTTTGCGACGCCGATTGCGTAGGACAGCTGCACCAGCGCGCGCTTGCATAGGCCGCTCTTCACAACGGACTTGGCCATCTGCCTGCAGATGTACGCCGCCGAGCGGTCCACCTTGGTCGGGTCCTTGCCGGAGAAGGCGCCGCCACCGTGGGCGCCCCAGCCCCCGTATGTGTCGATGATGATCTTGCGGCCGGTGAGGCCCGCATCGCCCTGGGGTCCCCCGATGATGAACTTTCCCGACGGGTTGATGTGCAGGTGGGTGTGGTCTCCGAACAGGGTGAGCGCCGGCTTACCACTCTTGAGCTTGATCTCGGAGAGGGTACTCTTGATTACTTTCTCGACGATCTCCTTGTTCATAGCCTCCATGCTAGGTGCAGTCATTTCTGCGCCCGTGTAGCCGGCACACTCCTTCGTGCGCGTGGCCTTCAAAGGCTCAGCGTGCTGGGTAGAAATCCGCCGACCCCTTGGTGTTCATCGGCGTGTGAAATGTTCTACCCTCCCCAAACCCCTCCCCCAGGAGCCTGGTCCGCTCGATTTGGGGATCCCCTGGGAGGTGGGCGAACGCATCCGGGGGGCAGAGGGCCCCCAAACAGGTCAAGAGGGCACCAAAAGGCCCTTGGGCTGGTCCACGGGGGCCACGAATCGCTGAAAGATCCATCCAAACGCCCGTGCTGGCCTCCAGAAAGCCCATGAGGACCTCAACAAGGAACCCCCAGGAGGCGCCCCAAGAGGGCGTCCAGAAACAAAAAAACGTTCCATTCCCTTGGTAAAACGTGCATTTTTAGCACATTCGCCTCTTGGGCGTTCACAACGCCCCAGACGGCCCAAGAGGCCTTC